AATCAAAATCAAGAATCTATTCGTAGATCATTCTAGAATGCGATTTCCTAATTTGGTATATTCCCAGACTGTAGTATATCTTAAAATTATTTATTTTATAATTTTTTAAAAAAACTTTATATTTTAATTTTTTAACAATTTTATAAATATTGACAATACTATAATTAAAAGCTTATACCTAGATTAAATTTTTTAAAAAGTTAAAAATATTTTTGTAAAGACAATAGAATATTTACATTTCTTATTTGATAAAAATTTTTAATAGAAAATTACTATTAAAAATATGTTTTAATTTAGTATGCAAAAAAAACCAAAATCTCTATATATAAAATTTTTTATTAATGATATTACAATTCTATACTTTGTGATAAATCTTTTTTATATAAAAAATTTAAATATATAATTTTTTTATTTTTTTATAATTTTTAAAGTATGCTTATAAATCCAAACTATTAGCAAAATATTTGCTTTATTCAATTAATCAGAGATTTTTTCTATATATAATTATACATGTTTTTTAAGTTTTTTTTTCAAAAATAGTTTTTGAACAGCTAAAATAAAACATTCTAATTGGTTGTCCTAAACAACAGGAGCTAAATCACCACCCAAAAATTTTTCAATTATCCTAATTAGCCAATCAAATTTCAAGATCAGGTGTAACGTAACACGTTCAGGAAAATTCAATAACTCAAAATTTAGTCTATGAAACCGCCTTCTGCGTACTAATAAAAAATTTCAAAATTTTGATATAACGAACACAAATTACGTACCCTAATCTAATAACGTAAATTTTTACTTTGAAAAAATTTTGGGTGGAGAATTAACCAGGGTAGTCCAAAACATTTTGACGTGACAGTTATAGCTGTTAAACAAAACCTAGAGGTTTCGTGCTGGTGAAGTCGACCCTAATTTCGATTTTTGCTAAAATAATTTTTTTAAAAAAATGAAATGACGAAACTGCGAAATGTGGTGAAACTAGCAAAATGTGACAAAGCTAGAAATTGGCAAAATCAATAAACTGAAGAGTGTAAAAACTAGTAAATCTTAAGAAAATTTAAATTAGCCTTTCATCTTGCTTAATAAATTGCACAATCATATGTAAAACACAATTAGAACGATAAGCCAAAAAAATTACCTTTACTAAAATTGAAAGTCGCATTTTTAGCCCGAGAATTTGCTTGGCATTGTATACGTAGCCAACAATTAGAACGATAAGTAAAAAAAAAGTTTACCTTGATTAAAATTAAAAGTCATGTTTAACTTTCACGAAGTTTTGCATATCTTAATTGGAGTTCCATCGAGGTTTCAAGTTTCGCCAGCGTTTTAATGTTCATCTTTTTGAGTTTAGGTTTCGTCATTTGCCATTTTTGATTTTTGGAAATAGGCTTCACCTACTACAGTACTTACTATCTTTAGTAAATTAAAAGTCTATTATATAATATAACACTAATCGATTGATTGGAAAAAAATTTGAATTGTTGATACATCTAGGGTCTTTTTTGGTATCACAGCTATTATCATAATTCCCAAAACCTGATAAAAATTAGCCAAACAATTTTTCGGTCGTTTGTTTTGATTAAGTTCGTGATTTCGGCATGATCGGTATATAAGACAGTAAGCTATATCCAAATCATTTTACATTATTAAATTTTTGTTTGATTACTTGCTAAGCATGTTTGGTGTGTTTGGTTTATGAAGATAGTTCTTATCAAGTCCTTACAATAAATACAAAAAAGACTCTGCATACAAAATAAACTTTATAATAAATACATTACACGAATAAATACTAAGATTAAAAAAGTTATATATGATCAAGAATTTGTCGACTGGTTTAAAAATATGACTCGAGATTCCAAAAGGTTTTATTAATATTTGTCGAAAATACAACATATCCATATCTTCTAAAGTGGTTGAAACTTTTAGAAAATCCAAAACCTAACCATTTAGCAATTTTCCGGAGTGATAAGCTTTTTTAAATTATTTGCCAGCGAAAATAGTTCTGAAAGTACCATATTGATTTAAAAAAAATTTATTCAGACTAATCGTGTCTGGTATAGAGATGCAATCGGCTCATCGGCTCTATTGATTAATCGGTTTTTATTATACTGAATATACAAGCCGATCGAGCCGTTTTGCATCACTAGTCTGGTACATAAAGTGATTAATGTACTATACCCTGTGTAGTCGGATATAAGCGAAATTTTGTAGTAAGTATACGCGGCCGATTATACTTACTGCAAAATTCCACTTATACCCAACTGCCCAGGATACGTATACTAACTATTACATCTGCTAGATTTTTTGATTAATTGGCTAATACTAAAGAAGCGGGTCGGTTAAAGCGGAGCGAGGTTTAGGGTTACCTTTTTGATGCAGTTATGATTAGCACGTTATATAGTTATCAAGAATGCAACTTTTGCAGAATGTAGATCATATATTGAATTCGCTCCGCTTTAACCGACCTAAAGAAGGAATTTTTTTGCTAATTGGCGATCTTCCGGCCGATCACAATCATAATAAGTAGGTTACATATATAAATGTCGCATTTTTATATCTCATACCTACAACCAACCAAATTAATTTTTAACATTAATACTTTAGCAGTACAATGTGACATATCGATATAACAAATTACTTAAGATGGGATAAAGTTTAATCCGTAATTTGCCTATTTTCCGATAAAATAATCACAAATGTTGATATTATATAGTAAGAGTAAACATGAATTCTCTTCCAAAGTACCTTTTCTTGTCGGCAACAATAATTTTAAATTTATTTATTGTTGCAACAACGGGATTTGTACCTCTTGGTCGTTGCTTTCATAGCAGTGTCCTTATTGGAACTCAACTATACTTTTTAGGTGGAATAGGTTCTGATGAAATATTCTATTTGGATGTCTCTTTACCTTTCGACTCCAAAAAACTTTTATGGACTGATTTAACGACCAATTCATCTATTCCTGTTAATAGTGCATTTGCAACATCGTGTATGGGAGGTCAAAATAATGAAACAATTTTTTTATTTGAGCATCATAAAAAAAATCACGATAAATTAAATTATACAATAACATATAGTTTTGATACAATAAATCAAAAATGGGATATACCAAAAATAACAAATTCAGATCAAATACCTCCAGTCAGACAAAAAATTAATGCTGCATGTGATCCTAACGGTAAAATGTATATTTATGGTGGATATAATCCACTCAGACGATTCAAGAGATCCTATAATGATATGTATGTCTTTGACTCTTTAAAATTATCTTGGAACCGATATCTAG